TGCTGAACAGGTTTAAAGTCATCGGGAGGCTTTTTTTTCTCTCTTTTTTGTTCCTCTCTCTGTTTTTCCCTTTTTTTCTTCCCCCAAGTGAGACAATAAGATGTGGAGTTACAAAGGGTCCAGAGACAGATCCAAAGGGGGAGCAAAAGGCTAGCCCCCCAAATTAAGAAACTTGAGACAAGTGTCACTTTGTGGTTCCACAGAGCTGACATTTTATTGTCTATGTGTATTATTATTTTTTAGTTATTTTTACCACTTTTATTTTATTAGTATTTTTTTATTTCTCTTCCTTATATTTTCTCATTTTATTTCCCTGTTTAATTGCATTGCTTGACTGGTTTTTCTTATTCTCTCTTTATTGTATATTAATTTTCCATCTTTTACCTCACTCATGTACCAATAACACACCACTCTTGATTGGGTACTTTCTGTTCTGGTTATCCAAGTCATATATTTCTTGTCATATTATTTTTCCAGCACTATTGTAAATAATTGTTGTTCCATACAATTGTACATACTACACAGCATCACTCCCTGATCTTAGCCCACTTCACCTTAATCCTGAGCATTATTATCGTTGTGGTTAACTCTATTTTCTCTCATGCTATGCCTACTTTCTATCCTTTACTCTCACTATATCTCATCATCTAACCTTGCACAGTCACCCTGTTTTCTGGATTCAGCTCACGATCATCCTCCCTTCTAACAAGAGTCTTACCTCTCTTTCACCTTTTATAAAAAGTTGCTAGTTGGATGACACATCACAGTTAATGCTATACTTATCCAAAGAATCTCTTATTTCTTCTTTACTTGCTGGAACTTTAAATTCCATGAAATACTCTCTCACTGTCTTAATTCATTTTGTCCACCCCTGCCACTGATTACATATAGGAATAGGTGGGAACTGCAAACATCAGTATACCTGCTGGAGGAGAGAACCCACCAACAAAGCAATCACCAAAAAGTAAAAACCTAAGTATGACAAGAGAGCCCACACAAACAGAAGACAAGGAGATCAAAGAGACCACACCATGGAGCCCCATAGAATTCCTACCATAGAAGTTCACCCTACAGAGATAGCTAGCAAAGCAAAACACTAGGAGGCACAGAAACAAACAAAAAGAGTCACCTAAAATGGGGAGATAAAAAAAGAACATGCAATCAAAAGGAAAGAAAGACTACCCACAAAAAGAGCTAAACAAAATGGAGGTAACCAAATGATCAGATATATAATTCAAAATAATGGTTATAAAGAAGCTCAAGGAACTCACAGACAACTACAAGGGACTGAGTGAGAACTATATCAACATGAAAAAGGAGATACAAACTATAAACAAAAACCAGGAAGAAATTAACATAAAATCTTGGAAATAAAAAACACACTAGAAGGAATTACAAGCAGGCTGAATGAAGAAGAAGATCAAATCAGCAAGCTGGAGAAGGAGGTGTAAAGAAACACCCAGATAGAGCAAGAAAAGGGAAAGAGACTCAGAAAGAATGAATAGGTGATAAGAAAGCTTCAAGATAATATGAAATGTAATGATATCTGAGTAATGGGGATACTAGAAGGAGAAGGAGAAGATCAAGGGAAAGAAAACCTTTTTGAAAAAGTAATGATGGAAAACTTTCCTAATTTGATGAGAGAAAAAGTCACACAAATCCAGGAAACACAGAGAGTCCCAATCAAGAGGAACCCAAAGAGGCCCACTTCAAGACACATCATCATTAAAATGGCAAAATTGCAAGACAAAGAGAGAATCTTAGAGGCAGCAAGAGAGAAACAGGAAGTAACATACAAGGGAGCCCCAATAAGGCTAGCAGCTGACTTCTCAATGGAAACACTCTAAGCCAGAAGGGAATGGCAAGAAATATTCCAAGTAATGAAAACCAAAGACCTGCAACCAAGACTACTCTATCCAGCAAGGTTCTCAATTAAAATGGAAGGCCAAATAAGGAGTTTCCCAGACAAAAGAGGTCTAAAAGAATACACCACCACCAAACCAGCTCTGTAAGAGATGCCAAAGGGTCTGTCTGCTTCAAGAAAAGGAAGAAAAACAGTGAGAGAGGAAGGAACACAAGTACAAAAAATGGCAATGCATAAGTACCTATCAAGTACCTTAAACATAAACAGATTTAATGCCCCAATCAAAAGACATAGAATAGCTGATGGATAAGAAAGAATGACCCATACATATGCTAACTACAAGAAATCCAACTCAGGACAAAAGACCTACACAGACTGAAAGTGAAGGGCTGGAAACAAATATTCCAAACAAATAGAGAAAAAAGATTATGTAATATCAGACAAAACAGATTTCCAAAAAATCCATAAAAATAGACCCAGAAGATCACTTCATAATACTCAAGGGAAGAATCCATCAAGAAGACATAAACATTATAAATACATGTGTACCCAACATAGGGGCACCCAAATATATAAAGAAAACCTTGGAGGACTTTGAGAAAGATATTGACAGCAACACAATTATGCTAGGGGATTTTAATACCTCACTGTCAAAAATGGACAGATCTTCCAAACAAAATATCAACAAAGATATTGCAGCACTGAACAATGTTCTAGATCAAACCAACTTACCTGATATATATAGAACCTTTAATCCCAAAGAAGCTACATACACATTCTTTTCAAACGCACATGGAACATTTTCAAGGATAGACCATATGATAGGACACAAAACAAGCCTCAACAAATTCAAGAAAACTGAGATCATATCAAGCATTTTCTTTGACTTACAAGGGACTGAAACTAGAAACCAACCTCAAGAAAAAAAAACCCAAACACTCAAACTCATAGAAATTGAATAGCATGCTATTAAACAATGAATGGGTCAAGAATGAGATCAAGGAAGAAATCAAAAAGTTTGTGGAAACAAATGAAAATGAACTCACATCAATCCAAAACTTATGGGACACAGCAAAGGCAGTCTTGAGAGGGGAGTTCATAGCAATAAGGTCTACTTAAAAAAGATAGAAACATTTCAAATAAATAACCTAACCCTACATCCACAAGAACTGGAGGAACAACAACAATGACAGCCCAGAGCAAGTAGAAGGAAGGAAATAACCCAGATTTGAGCAGAATTAAATGACATAGAGATGAAAAGCACAATTCTAAGGATCGATAAATCCAGGAGCTGTTTCTTTGAAAAAATAAACAAAATTGATTAAGTCTTTAAGCAGGCTCATAGAGAAAAAAAGAGAGAGGCCCAAATAAACAAAAGGGGAAATGGAAGAGGAGAGATTACAACTGATACCACAGAAATAGAAAGGATTGTAAGAAATGACAATGAAGGACTATATGCCAAGAAATTTGAAAACCTAGGAGAAATGGACAAATTTCTAGAAAAATACAGTCTTCCAAAACTAAATGAAGAAGAAGCAGGAAGCCTGAACAGACCAATAACAGCAGATGAAATTGAAGCAGTAATCAAAAAACTCCCAACACATAAAAGGCCTGCACTGGACAATTTCACAGAGAATTCTACAAAGCATTTAAGAAAAAGCTAACCCCTATTCTTCACAGTCTATTTCAAAAAATCTAAGAAGATGAAAGACTCCCAAACTCTTTTTATGAAGCCAGCATCACCTTAATCCCAAAACCAGATAAAGACACAACACAGAAAAAAAACTTCAGGCCAATATCACTATGAACATAAGTACTGAAATCCTCAACAAAATATTGGCAAACCACATCCAGCAATACATTAAAAAGATCATACACCATTGCCAAGTGGGATTCATCCCAGGGATGCAAAGATGGTACAATATTCACAAATCAATAAGTGTAATACATGACATAAACATCACATGATTGTATCAATAGATGGAGAAAAAGCATGTGGTAAGGTATAGCACCCATTTATGATAAAACACTCAGCAAAGTGAAAACAGTGGAAGCATTCCCCAACATAATAAAGGTAATATATGAGAGACCTACAGCCAACCTCATACTTAATGGGCAAAAACTATAAACTTTCTCACTAAGATCAGAAACAAGACAAAATTGTTCACTTTCACCACTTCCATTCAACATAGTATTAGAAGTCCTAGCCACAGCAATCAGACAAGAAAAGGAAATAAAAAGCATCCAAATTTTAAAAGAGAAAACAAAACTGTCATTGTTTGCAAATGATATGATAGCGTACATAGAAAATCCTATAGATGCTGCCAAAAAACTACTTGACCTAATAAATAAATTTGTCAAAACAGCCGGAAAGAAAGTCAACATTCAGAAATCAAAGGCATGTTTGTATACCAATAACGAAATATCAGAAACAGAAATAAGGAAAAAATCTCATTTGATATAGCAACAAGAATAATAAAATACCTAGGAATAAACCTAACCAAGGAGGTAAAAGACTTATACTCAGAAAACTACACAACACTGAAAAAATAAATTAAGAAAGACACAAACAAATGGAAACATAGCTCATCTTCATAGATTGTAAGAATTAACATGATCAAAATGGTCATACGACCGAAAGCAATTAATAGATTCCATGCAATACCTATTAAAGTACCAATGGCATGTTTCACAGATAGAACAAACACTTCAAAAATTTATATGGAACCATAAACAACCCTGAGTAGCTGCTGCAATTTTGAGAAAGAAGAGCCAAGTAGGAGAGATCACAATACCTGATATCAAACTGTATTACAAGTCCATTGTAATCAAAACAGCCTGGTACTGGCATAAAAACAGACACATGGACCAAGAGAACAGAATGGAGAGTCCAGAAGTAAACCCAAATCTCTATGGTCAATTAGTATTCAACAAAGGAGACAGCAGCATAAAATGGAGCAAAAATAGCCTCTTCAACAAATGGTGTTGGGAGATGCAAAAAAATAAAATTTGGTCACCAACTTACACCATAAACAAAAATAAATTCAAGGTGGATACAAAACTTAAATATATTCTGCCCAGTTTCTTCCAGCCATGCAACTTTCTCTCGGTCAGTTTCTCTGACTTTTTTCCCAGCATGGCTCCCAAATACCCATCTTCGCTCCCACCCCTAATGAAGAAACTAAGACCTTCTCCTGCCCCCAAGCCAGAGAAGAAGCCAACTGCTCTGGGTTTGCCAAAGGAAGAAAAAGAACAGCAAGAAGCAATTGAACATATTGATGAAGTAGAAAATGAAATAGACAGACTTAATGAACAAGGCAGTGAGGAGATTTTGAAAGTAGAACAGAAATATAATAAACTCTGCCAACCATTTTTTCAGAAGAGGTCAGAATTGATCGCCAAAATCCCAAATTTTGGAGTAACAACATTTGTCAGCCATCCACAAGTGTCTGCACTGCCTGGGGAAGAGGATGAAAAGGAGCCAAATTATTTGACAAGAGTCGAAGTGACAGAGTTTGAAGATATTAAATCAGGTTACAGAATAGATTTTTATTTTGATGAAAATTCTTACTTCGAAAATAAAGTTCTTTCCAACGAATTTCATCTGAACAAGAGTGGTGATCCATCTTCGAAGTCCACTGAGATCAAATGGAAATCTGGAAAGGATTTGATGAAATGTTCAAGTCAAACGCAGAACAAAGCCAGCAGGAAGAGGCAGCAGGAGGAACCAGAGAGCTCTTTTACCTGGTTTACTTACCATTCTGATGCGGGTGCAGATGAGTTAGAAGAAGTCATCAAAGATGATATTTGGCCAAATCCATTACAGTACTACTTGGTTCCTGATATGGATGACAAAGAAGGGGAAGGAGAAGAAGATGATGATGATGATGAAGGGGAAGAAGAGTTGGAAGATATTGATGAAGAAGGGGATGAGGATGAAGGTGAAGAAGATGAAGATGATGATGAGGGGGAGGAAGGAGAGGAAGATGAAGGAGAAGATGACTAGTGGAACACTTACGGATTTCAACCTTTTTTTAATTTTCTCAAGTCCCTGGGAGCAAGTTGCCATCATTTCCCCCCTCTCCCCCCTCTTGTGCTCGGTCTCCCTGTGTCTGAGGTCTCGTTTCTCTCCTTTACACCATGGTTCTCACCTGACTTGGGGAGATGTACCTTGAGCAAAATACAGTGGAAAAAGAATCTCTGCCCCTTTCTGTTCCAAATTCATTTTCATCCCTTCCTATCTTGACCAAAACTTTATGGAATCAACACCACCGTGCTCTGTGGGAAAAAAGAAGAACCTTCCACTTCCTTAGCTCTGCTGGAAGCTGGAAGGTGCTAGGACCCTGTGTAGTCGTGCATAGAATTCTAGCTTTTTTCCTCCTTTCTCTGTATATTGGGCTCAGAGATTGCACTGTGTCTCTATGTGAATATGAATAGTTAGCATTTACCAACATGTATCTGTCTACTTTCTCTTGTTTAAAAAAAGGAAAAAAAAACTTTAAAAAAAGGGGGGGTTATAGAAGGTCAGCAAAGGGTGGGTTTGAGATGTTTGGGTGGGTTAAGTGGGCATTTTGACAATGTGGCTTCTCCTTTGGCATGTTTAATCGTGATGTTAACAAACATCCTTGCAATTTAAGATGACACTTTTAAAATAAAATTCTCTCCTAATGATGACTTGAGCCCTGCCACTCAATGGGAGAATTAGCAGAACCTTTTAGGATCTTATTCAGAATTGAAATTTCTCTATTGTAATTTTGTTCCTGTTTATTTTTAAATTTTCTTTTTGTTTCACTGGAAAGGAAGATGATGCTCAGTTTTAAATGTTAAAATGTACCAGTTGCTTTGTTACAATAAAACTAAATGTGTACACACACACACACACACACAAAACCCTTAAATATAAGTTGTGACACCATCAAAGTCCTAGAGGAGGACATATGCAGGAAAAATTCAGATATTCCACACAGCAATATTTTCAGTGACATGTCCCTTAGAGCAAGGGACATAAAGGAAAGAATAAACAAATGGGATCTCATCAAAATAAAAAGCTTCTGTATAACTAAAGAAAACAGCATTAAAATGAAAAGAGAACCAACCATATGGTAAAACATATTTGCCAATGATACCTCAGACAAGGGTTTGATCTCCAAAATATATAAAGAACTTACACAACTCCACTCTAAAAAGACAAGCAACCCAATTAAAAAATGGGCAAAGGACTTGAGTAGACACTTCTCCAAGGACATACAGAGGGTCCAGAGACATATGAAAAGATGTTCAGTATAGCTAGCCATAAGAGAGATGAAAATTAAAGCCACAATGAGATACCACTTCACACAAGTCATAATGGCCATCATAAACGAAGCAACAAACAACAATTGTTGGAGAGGTTGTGGAGAAAAGGGAACCCTAGTGCAGGGTTGGTGGGATTGCAGACTGGTATATCCACTATGGAAAACAGTATGGAATTTTCTAAGAAAACTAAAAATGGATCTGCCTTTTGACCTAGCAATTCCACTGCTAGGATTATATCCTTAAGAACCCTGAAACACCAATCCAAAAGAACCTATGCACCCCAATGTTCATAGCAGCACAATTTACAATAGCCAAGTGCTGGAAGCAACCCAAGTGCCCATCAGTGAATGAATGGATAAAAAAACTATGGTACAGGATTGAGCGCGGGCCTGCAAACCAAAGGATCATGGTTCAGTTCCCAGTCAGGGCACATGCCTGGGTTGCAGGCCAGTTCCCAGCAGGGGATGCACGAGAGGCAACCATACATTGATATTTCTCTCCCTCTATCCTTTCCTTCCTCTCTAAAGATAAATAAATAAAATCTTAAAAAACAAACAAACTATGATACATTTACACAATGGAATTCTACACAACAGAAACAAGGAAGAAGCTCCTACCCTTTGTGACAGCATGGATGGACCTAGTCAATCCATAGGATGGACCTTGGTTCATTTTTAACCTAGTCAACAAAATGATCGAGCAAGCAAAGTATAACCAAAGACACTGAAATTGCCAACAGTGACCAGAGGGGAGAAGTGAGGGGTTAATGGGGGAAAAGGATGAAAGGTTTACAGGAACAGTTCATTATAAAGAACACATGGACAATAACAAGTGGGGCAGAGGGAACTGGGGAAGGAGGTGGGGAGGGCTGGGGTGCTGGGGGGAAAGACAGAAAACTACTTGAACAATAAAAAAATAATAATAAAAGAAAACAAATCTCTATAGAAATTATATTCAGAATGCTTGATGTCCTTTAAGTGTTTAATATTTACAAAACAAATTTAACTGAAAAGAAGGTTTCCCTTGGCAAAGTTTATAAGAAGATTAGAAACTTGATGGTGTAACTGAAGCCTTATCATACATATGGTGTGTACTTGTATTTATCAAAATATTCAGGAGACAACTGGCAGGTATAAATTTTTTAGAGGTTAAATTTAGATATACTAATTTAAGCCAAGGATCTCAGAAGAATTAGCTAACCAACTAGCCTCACAATGACTGAATTTTAAAATTCATATTTACAGTGCATTTTCTTTATTAACTAGCATTTTTTAGTAAAATAGGTCAATTTTTCAAAGGCATGTTTATGAAGACAAAGCAAGAGTCAAAGGGATTGCAGAATAAAAAATATTAGAAATGAAATTTGTTCTCTACTTGACACCCATGATTTGGGTCTACATACCACATCTGCTAGAGTTGCTTAATGCATCTGTTCACATAGACCTGGGTCTGAGCCTTGGGTCAAACACTTAACCAGCACCCATGGACAGACTCTGTGCTTTAGTTTCTCCTTCAGTAAAATGCAATCATCCTGACTTTTTATATAGAAAGTATTTAGAACATTAAGAACTCAGTAAATATTAAGCTCAGTAAAAGCAAGTTTGGCTAATATTAGGAGAGCTTTTTCTAAAATTTCTAATATTCAGTTCTCTCTCTCTTTTAGTTTATTTTTAATGTAAATCTCAATATATGTGATCTTCAATAATATCTTTTATTATTCTTCACATATAAGCTATAACAAGATAAATCAAGGCAGTTGCAAGCCTGCAGAATGGCCAATTTTAAGAACTTGATATTATGAGACAAACTAAAATTTTAGTTGTGCCATAGAAGTGCCTTAGAACATATGCAAAAATAATTATGAATAGAAATTAACAATAGCAAAAATAACCATTTACTAGGGAAGTACAGTAGCAATTGTTAATTTTTTTACAAGTTGCTAGTAAAATTCTTATTAAAAATTTGAAGTTTTTTCATTAGAAATAAGAGAAAAAGAAAAAGAGGGAATCAGTATTCTACTCCAGAATTCTTGTAGAAGATGAATCACAGGAGGGAGAGTCAGTAGTGATAGCTGGAAAAAGAAAAGTAAGCAAACCAAATCTCCAGGGCCTGCAGGGGAGGGATTATACTGAAAGCGGAGCCCAGATGAAGAGGCTGACCCAAGGGCTTAACCAGTAAGAGGACCCATATGTTACTTGGGAGACCGGAAAGATGCCCAGGCAGGGATCCTAACAATCCTATGATTGGCCACTAAATGGAAATGCCCATTGGAGTTAAATAGATCTAAGTGTAAGTCTTGGCCCAAGTATTTGCTAGCAATTCAATATTAGGCAAGTTTATAAACTCTCTAAATTTCATTTTCATTGTAAAACAAAAGATAAGTATAGTTTCTTAATAGTTTTGCTGCATTAAAAAAGACAACATCTGTAAAGTGATTATCACAATTTCTGGCAGAAAGTAAATTTCATAATATTATTTGAAGAGAGATCCTTAATTACTGTAGGTAAATAGATATTAATGAAGATATTAACTACCAGGGAGAATCTGCAAGCTATGAATTGACTAATAGCTCCAGGCAAAGTCATTGATTAAAGATGTTATGCCTTTTCTCTTTTGTTTAATGCCTTGGTAGTTTTTCTTTGATCCTTTATTTTGGTTTGTTAACTTCCAAAAGTCAGCTATGGTAGGAAGTGAGGTGGTACTAAAAATGTCTATGTGCTTCTGAAACTCAGGGTCAGTTTGTACTTGATGACTCATTTAGAAATACCCCTTCTGCTTTTAGAAAACAGTATAGGCTTTACATACACCGGATGCGAGATGCCACGCCTAAAACAACGTAAGTCATATATATAACCACATACAAGATAACTTGCAAATAAGCATTCTTCCCAATAAACAGTTATAACTTACTCTTTACTAGGCCACTATGCTACAAGCTATGAAAAGGATATAAAAATGATCCATAAAATCTGATAGTTTAAGTGTAATTTAAATTGTGCTTAAACCCTTGGTGATGCAATACAGTAAAGGAAGGCTATAATAAATACAACCTTTAGACTGTGCATCAGGAGTCTAAGTCACTTAGGCCCTGGCTGGTAGGCCTCAGTGGATTGAGCACTGGCCTGTGAACCAAAGGACAACTGGTTTAACTCCCAATCAGGGCATATGCTTGGGTTGAGGGCCAGGTTCCTGGTAGGGGGTGCTCGAGAGGCAAGCACATGTTAACATTTCTCTCCCTCTCTTTCTCCCTCCCTTCCCCTTGGTCTAAAAACAAATAAAATCTTTTAAAAAAAGAAAAGAAGTCCAAGTCCTTTAAACCTCTCTTGACCTCTGTTTTCTCCTCTGAGAAATAAAGCAGTCACACTACCTGAGCCATTAATTTCATGCTAAAATGCCACTGTTTGTATGACTGTGGTGGGCACTTAGGGAGCTAAGGACAGTTTCATTAACACGTGCACTTGTCTATCAGAATGCAAAAATAGATCATTTTAGAAAATAGCATTGGTAGTGGCGTGGAGGGAGATTTCTTCTCCCCTATTAAAGATAAATAAATAAAATCTTAAAAAAAGATAGGCTTAAAATAGTTGGGTTAAAAAGACACAAAGAAAGACAGTCTTGAAAAGTTTATTGGCAAGAAGATATGGAATGAAAAAAAATTAATTAATTAGGCCCGAGCACCTTGTTGTGACATTGGTAAGTCACCTATTAGCTACTTTTTCATTCACTGATTAAAAATAATTTTA